ATAAAATCAAAATTAAAATTAGAATAAAGCAAAAAAACTTCAAGAACAAAGAAAAAATCGACAAAAACAGTACAATAAAACAGCACTAAAGTCTATAGTACAACAATTCAAAGAATCTGTCAAGACTACTATAGCAAACTAATAAGAGATTAAAAGGAAAGCCAAAAAAGAAAAAGAAAATATGCAAGTTTGACAAAAGGAAAAGCAAGCTACTGAAATAAAGTTGAAGTTAAATCTAGATTGAAGCAAAAGACTTTAAAAATAAAGGAAAACTCAACAAAAGCGGCAGAATCAAAAAGTATTAAAAACTCTAATATTACAGTTTAAAATATCTATTGAATCTACTGCATTTAGACAAGAAAAAGAAAAAAGAAAAATCAGAGAAAAAAAGGAAAAGAGAAGCAAAAAACAAGATATTTTAGATTTTACAGAAATGAAAACACTAAACAAAATTCAAGAAGAAACAAGACCAAAAATTGTACTAACAACCTTAGCAAAATGGTTGATAGAAGTAATATACCAAATTAATATCAAAGACTTGCAATCTAATAATAGAACATAGAAAAAGAAGAAGAAAGATTTGCTTGCAAAATGAATATATGGTGTAAAGTCCTAATAGAATCTAAGATGCCTGAAGGACCAAAGAAGTATTGATTTAAATTTGTTCCAAAATACAATAGCTTATAGACAAAAAGAAACTAAAAATTAGAAAAAGAAGAAAAAAGATATATTATTAGAAATATTAGAGAAGATCTTTGTAGAAATCCTTAAAAATCAGAAAATCTTTGTTGAAATTCAAGAAAAGTTTTTGGAAAGAAAACTAAAGCTTAGGAAGAAAAAGAAAAAGAAAGGTAAAAAAAAGAAAAAAAAGAAGACCTCTATACCCAGAATATAGAAGAAAATAAATTTGGATAGACTATTCAAGACTCTGAAATAGAAAAACCAAAAGAAAGCCCAAGATTTTTTAAAAAAAAGAAAGCTTACAGAAGAGTATTTTCAAAAAAAAACTACAGAAAAAGCTTCTAAGAAATAGAAGAAGACTACGAAGCTATGAAATATAAGGTTCTAAGAACTGATTTAATTGGAAGAAGAGAAAAAGAAAACGCAAATATAAACAAGAGTAGAGATGGGCATCATACATATGAATGTATGCATACATACGCATAGTTTGATGTCTATGTATAATCATGCAAGCATTGCTGTCTTAGAAAAATTTGTTAACCAATCATATTTCAAGATCAGGTACAATACAAAAAATGCGAAAAAGTGAAATCAAGATTTAAAAACTCTCTATGAAACTATCTTTTGCGGACTAACAAGAGAATTGGGTATTAATAAGACATTTTTTTATTTAATTTAATAGTAAAATATAATCATGATCTAATAGCAAAAATATTTTTTTTAGAAATTTTTATGCTGGTAATGCTAGAACTATAAATTAAAATTAAAAATATCTATCACTATATATCGCACAAATTAAATATTTAATGCACTAAATTAATAAATCTTCAAAGAATCTGATATTTCAAACAATTTATTTAGCATTAGGATAATCTATTATAAAAGAATATTTATATAATTTGATAATTTGAGAACTGCTTGGATAGTTTTTACACTTTATAAAACAAAGTTGTGGTTTTAAAAAGTGATTATACCTATTTATATTATTTTTCAATATGAAAATAATATGCGTCATTTTTTGATCAGTATAAATTTAAATTAATAAATATTTTTTTATTATAGCATATTTAATAAATACTAAGAACCAAATTTATATATGGATTTGACCAAACATATTCAAATTTATAATTATATTCAATATTCTAACGATGAAATTGATCAGCTTGTCAACGAAATGACAAAGCAATCATTATTGCAAGATCAAGAGACTTTATTACAGGTCACATGCAAACCAGTTTTTGGCCTTTTATAGGAGTATGCATAATGTTTCTTAGTATCTTGTCAGATACAGGTATTGTAGATAAATCTATGATTGCATATGATTATCTTAATTGTTGTTCTTTAAAAGTCAATAAACCGGTAATGGGCAATAATAAAATTGATTAAGTTAAGGAGTATGTTTATTCATTTTGTATCAAGCGAGAAAGAGTAAGTAGATTAAGGATATTTAAGAACGGTTCTCTACAGCGTATTTCAGATACTATATTCTTCAGTTTAGCTAGCTTTATCGATTCTCACCATCGAGCTCTTCTAATCAATTTTTTTTCACAAAACGCAGGTTACAAATCTAGTTTTTTATAATGCATCCAGCAAATATTTGTTTTTGTGTAAAGCAGGGGTTATTATGCTAGTAGCCAGCTAAAATTTAAATAGATAATTAGTAAATATGTAAATTTTAAATCAAAAAAAATAGAACATAAATTTGTGTTTTTTTTTTTTTTTTTGAACAAAATGTTAGATCCAATATGGATTCATTTTATTCAGTTAGAACACATAGCTGGATTTAAATAAAAAAGAAGAGAATGTAAATATTGTCAGCACCCAATTAATGATTCTCTTAGAGCTGCATATATATATTTTCAAAACTGCGATCTAGTTACATCAGAGCAAAAAAAAAATTATTTTGATAATTCGTATGAAGAGGAAAATAATAATAATACATCCATAAATATACCTGACATATCAGCTTTTGTTGCATCAATATTCGCATCTGCTTTAGGTGTATCAACTTCGTCTTCATCTACTTCTTTAGTTATTTCAACTTCTATATCTAATGAATTAACTAAAAATACAAGCAAAACTCGAATTACAAATTATATTACGACTAATCATATGTTTGCAATTGAACAAAAATCACTTGAGTTAGAATTTGCAAGATCGATATTTTAATACGGCTTATTCTTATTTTTATCTGAAATAGAACTAATTAAAAAATTATGGAAACAAGTATGGCCAGCATTCAGGTTACCTAGTCGAAAAAAAACTTTCAACAAGTTTATTAGATAGTATCTATAATGAAACCAAAAAAAATGTTGATGCCTTGATTAGTAATAGCAAAAACTTATATCTCATGTCAGATGGATGGTCTAACTTAGTACAAGAGTACTGGACTAACTATATTTTGACAACACCAAAACCAATATTTTATACAGCTCATCCGACTAATAAAATACATCAAGATGGTGAAACGATTGCTAATAATTTAAAAAAAATAATAATTGAGATAGGCGCATCAAAGATTTCAGCAATCATTACCAATAATATCTCTGTAATGAAAAAGGCATAGCACTTGTTAGAGGTAGATTATTCTGAAATTTTATTTTTAGATTGTATTGTACATAGTTTAAATCTTTTGGTAGGTGACATAATGAGATTATTATGGTGTGCAAATATCCATAAAAAAGCAAAAATGATTGTTAAATATTTTTGAAGACATCAAATTCCAAATGCCATATTAAAATGACACCAACTAGCTTCATATGATCAATGAATTTTTCTTAAATATCCAGTTAAAACATGGTAGAGATCATCAGCAACATGTTTTAATTCTCTTGTACAAAACCAACTTGCACTTAAATTAGCTATAACAGAGTTGGCTCATGATAATTATACTGTAATACCTAATATGATTAGTAATACTATAAATAGTGAGAATTTTTGAAAGAATATTGAATCTTTACTAATAGTTTTAGATAAATTAGTTGCAGGTATTGCTACTTTTGAGTCTGATATACCAAAATTAGTATTATTTTATAATTAGTATCATGAGCAATTGGAGTCTAATAGTATATAAATGCATACTTATAGTAAGGCTATACAAACTTAATGAATCGATTCTCATAATCTGACAGTATTAAATTTCACAAAACTTTAAAAAAAAATTTGTTTAGATTTACTATCCAGGTGGACTTTTTCTATTTATACACTAGCACTAGTGTATAAAACACAGTAATATATGCGTAATAACTCAAAATTTGCTTATAAAATTATATTTTGAGTTCTAACAAAAAAAAATTACTATGAAATTTTAGTTTAAACTACACTTGTATCTTATGACGATTTGCAGAAAGATGCGATTCTGTAATTTCATAATGACGATATCTAAAAAAATTTTAAGCTTTAAATTCTCTAAACATTTTTTTTAATTAATAAGGTCTATTTATTTGAAATCTCTAAGATTTTTTAAGAATCGAAAAATCTATTAAAATCGTCTAATTTTATATGTTATCATTACCTGCAGAGGTCACACCTTTTTGCAAACTGCTATAATTTTAATCTAATTTAATGCTTTTTTTAAAATTTGCATTATATCGATCTACCAATTATACTCGTATTTCATATACTGGTATAAATTAATAAATTTTCTTTTTAACTGAGTTCTGAGTTAGTTTTTAAATTTTACATTATGAGAACTGGAACATTAATTTTGCATGATGTGATTATTTTACCTTGTTAATAATTTACCTATTTTATTCTAGTTTATATTTTCCTGTAGTAGGTTCCAGAATAAAAACTTTATTAGAAAACCAGTAGAAAAAAATATATTAACCTGTAATGTCAATAGCATATTTGTTAAATCCACAATTTTGTGAAAAAAAACTTTCAGCCAACAGCATATCAATTATTTCAATATTTATTTAAGAGTATTATCCAAATGAAGCAGATATTATTTGGCGACAATTACTTCAATACAAAACTCGAACTGGTATATTTAATTTGAATTTAGCTTGGAATACAGTAGACGAAGTAGATCCGATTGCTTGGTGGAAGAGAAATTTTAAGGAATTATCATCTGAATTATGTAAAGTTGCATCAAGAGTTCTTAATATTCTATCATCATCAGCTGCTACTGAACGAAATTGGTCAAATTTTTCCTATATCTATGCCAAAAAATGAAATCGGTTAACATCAGAACATGTATTAAAGCTCGTATATATATATAGTAACTATAAATTTACATGCCTGAGATTAGAATCTTCTGATATAATGAAAACAGTAATATGTTTTAATAGTAGACCTGACAATGAAAATAATGAATTTGAATTATTAGACTCCGATAGTGATAATGAAAGTAGTAAAAGTGAATTGATGAAAAGTAATGAAAGTGAATTGGTGGAAAGTAATAATGAGAATGAGAATGTGGAATTATCTGAATCAGAAGCAGAGCTAATGACTGAAAGTGATATAAATAATAAAAATAAATAGATGAACACTATGTTTTTTGAATTGGAGTTGACAGAATTGAAGTTAAAAAAATGGGTGTAAAGCATTTATACTAGCAGTTGATATATAGTTCCGACAAGCATTCATACCAGCTGTCAATCTGTAGTTTTGACATTATTATAACAGAGATGTCTACTGGAATATGTCTATTTTATGGATATTTATTTGATATTAAACATATATTAGAAATTTGTGATAAAAGAGTTAAAAAAAATGAGTATAAACATTATTTATTAGGTTATAAGATAGATGTGAAGAAAAAGGTGAAATTAGGTTTTAAAATTGAACGTAAGAATTTTATTGTTGAAATCTGCTAAAACGATAAATGCAAATGAAATTAGTGTCAAAAAAAAACAAAAAAAAAACATTAATTAGAGTTTAAAAAGTGGATAGAAAATAAAATTGGTGCTAAAGTGCTGAATATAAAATATTTTAATAGAAATGCTAGTAGAATTAGCTAAAAGAATGAATGTAAGGTACTTGAAAATATCAAAAACTGAATATTGTTTTACAAAACATACATTGTAATAAAGGCTTTATACCCATTATATGTAAGCTTCATAAAAGTTTCTTCTTAAAATTTTTTTACCATTAATTACTTAACTTTTAATTCAGTGAATATTAACTACTATACTGGCCAATAGTCAACATAATTTAAGGTGTTCTCAAGCACCTCAATCAATTAATTAAATAATGATCATGATGACACTCAAGCATCTCAATTAATGATGATATTTTGTAGAATTAAATGTTTAAGCATATGTACTCTTTTTCTATTGTTCGTAATCTACGCTATGCTATCTAAATCAACTAGTTGCCGAAATTTTAATTTCGGCTGCGCTAGCTTCTTCCTTTAATGATTTTACTAATTTAAATCTTTTGTTGCAATAGCAACAGCGAAAGTCATATTACAGCAACAATAAGGAAGATTTTTTTCTTGCGAATATTAATATTTAAATTTTATTAAACGAAAAATGAAATAATAGTATTCATCATGGTTTGATTTAATGTTTTGGGTTGTATTTTTTTACATTCATATGAAGTATTAAGGTTATTTGTAAGAATTCATTATTTAGTAACCTTATCAATATAAATTTTTGAAAAAAAAGATGTATTATTTGGGTTAATTTATTCAATTTCTGGCTATCAAAAATTGTCTTCAATCTATTGAGTAAGGTGTTTGAGAACAGCCTTAGCCCAGAACTATGGTACAATTTTATATAGTTAAATAGTTTAAAATAAAAAAATAAAATAAAATTGAAAAGATATCTAAAATCAGATGTGATTATATAATTTCATTCATTTAATTAATGTAGATTAGTTTAAATTAAATCAAGTATTATAAATAAAGTGTTCTCAACATTTTTTATCAATACTTTACTTGTTTTTTTATATTTTTTGAGTATTACGAATCAATAAATAAATTTCATCTAGACTGCATATAATATACATGCATGCATGTATGCATATAGCATACCATGCACATGCATGATACAAAAACATACTGTTTTGCCCATCTCTAATTATATCGCAATGTTTTGAAATGTTTAAAACTAAATAAGTAAAATTCTATTAATGATCTATAAGTTAAAAACTTTA